GTCATAGTATGGTACCTGCCTTGGTACTCAGCACTCAGTACTACTTCGAAGCTGATTCATGGATGGATTTTGAAAGATAGGGGTGTTGACATGGATGGCTGGGGCTTGGGTTTAATTGTCAGTTATCCAATAGAGTGCAGATTCTGACGGATTGCATTGATTAGAACAGATAGAGCTTTCTTCAACTTTTGGATTTGGCTGGATATTGTTAGATTCTTTTAGATTTTGCAGGTTGTTTCTAGAAAACTTTCTTTAATGCTAATAGATGCCACTGTTGTACCACAAGATGTTGACAAGTTTCCCAGTTGGTTCAAGAACTCCAGCATTCACGGTTCAACTGTCCTGTTTAGGTTTGACTCATCTTTCTTTGATTGGTGGCTGATGGATGATTTATGTTGCTATAGACCCGTTTCTTGGCCCGTCTTTCCTGTTGTCTTTGTCTTGGGTGTCTGGGGTCTGTGTGCCTGATGGTCTGATCTGAGCACACGCCACTGCCAATGTCACTGAGGTTTGGCTAAATCTGTGGGCTGTGGTGAGAGTCGGGCTGTGGGAACCCCTGGGGGCATTCCCCTGTGGGTCACCAGACAGCAGGGGTACAGTGACTCAGGATTTAGCGCACCATTGTTAATCTGTCTCTGTTAATCCCCATTGGCTACAAGTCTCCACCGTCAAGTTTTCAAGTTGGTAGAATATGGGCATGCTGACATTTACTTGTTTTGAATAACGCATTAGAAGACATATAATGCTCTAGTGTAGACTGCTCATGAATTTTTTCCTCCTCTGCATGAATTTTGAGTCAGTGGTGGAGGTAATTTTGCAAATGAATATTGCATTGGACTAACGCTAACAGTGATTATAATGTAATCAAGAAATATGGTAACTAAAATCGGGGTAACTGAAATCGGAATTTTCACAAATTATTTTAGAGAGACAATTTGTAGGACACCAGAAGCAATGCACAGTGGCCACTTACTATACTTGGGCTGAATTGTCTGCATTTAACATTCAACACATATATTTCCATAGAACCTGACTATTACACTTTTCTACGTTTTCTCAAAAAAAAAAGTGAGAATTTGTAGAACTGTTTCACAGGATCTTAAATTGGCATTTGCAACCCAACCATTTGAATCAGTTGTCACTAGCATACTTTGTGCCACATGGCCCTTTTGTGAAATTGTGACAAATAGGATGAGTAGGCATTCTTTGTTTCCATAATGGCTGTACTGCATTGACTTCAGATCATGTGCAAAGAATATGATGATCTGTCCAGTACATAACTTGTACATAATATGAAGAAAACTGGTATATTAGATGCATGTACATGTACAATGTATGTTTTCAATGTACATGTACATGTACATGTACTAGTTGTTTTTGTAGGGAGATTGACGAAGGTTGTAGCTGGAGTTACATGCTACATATTTCTTTGGATCCAAAGCAACACCACATGAGATGTATGAAATATGGCTACGTGCATGTAGACATGTGTGACAACACACAGTGATGTTTACCCTGTTTGTTTCAGTGTCTGAGTCAGAGATCTTGGTGTATTGAATGTATATTTTGCAAGAAACCTTGGTTGGGCCCACTGTTCCCAAGATCCCTTAGCTTGGCATATCTCATTTGTGTGGTAATCATGGCCCATAGGCAGAGCGCGAAAGAGAGAGTGAGAGGCGAACAGTGGTAGACACACTCTGCTGAGTCCTCCCTCGGGGATACCAAAGCTAGGCCAAGCTCTCCTTCATAGAATCACCTGTCCTCGGCCCTGGCGATCTCTCCTTTTCTCTTCCTCTTCCCTGTCCAATCGCTCAACCCCCATAGAGCTAGAGTGGGATGCTCTGGCTGTTTTTCGCTCTCCCTGCATTTTGCCACAGCGGCCACATCTGCACGGCAGATTTCCCAGGCTTGAAAATGTAATTTTAGTTGTTTGCTTCAGGCTTTGCAGGGCCCCCCTGGGGAGGCGCTCACCTCCCCCGTGGAGGTTCTTAGGTAGAGCCGGGGAAGGTTATAATGCTAGCTCGGTTTGGCGCTTGGACCAGGGCCTTTCAGATTCTTAGCCAGTCTGGGCCAGGCAGCCTGCCCGAGTCTCCCCGGGGAGGGCCATGAATACTGCAGTTCCAATTTTCAATCATTTCGACGGGAGGTCCCAGTGGAGGTCTGAATGTAATTTGCCACCATCAGCGGGATATAAGCCAGGTCCATTTCCATTTGGTAAGGGTCCTGGGGGATCTCGGTCCGAGCCCAGTTGCAGCTGGGATTGTCTTCTTTATCTTCATGCGAGTGCTCCCTGGGGGGGACCATGCCGGCTCAGCCAGCAATTTTATTTTATTTTTTTGCCAACTCCATCAGGCTAGTGGTCTGCTCTTCCCTGGCAATCTGATTGCCTCCCGGTGCCCCGCGGGATTCCTGGCTTCGTCACTGTGGCCTACTTCACTGGTGACCCATCTCCCCCTGGGCTGATGATCTACACCATGGCCAATAGTGACTACAACCATCTACAGGAGCGCAGCGGGCACAGCCCCAATTTAATTTCAGAGGGAAACAGAGAGATATGAACCAATGCATAATACCGGTATATTCACCAGTACATTTTTTCTCACAATGGCACCGTTGTTTTCTTGAAATAAAAGGGCTCAGTGCATACTGACCCTAATACACTGTAGGTCTACAAATGTTTCTACATTCATTAAAAGATCCAAAAGCAAATCTTGGCTTTTTACACTTTTCTGTTAAATTCATTTTCAGTTGGTATAGTGATTTGCGCTTTGACAATAAATAGTAAAAATATATGCTGAATAAAAACCAGTCACATTCACAAACATTTGTAGCGGTTGTGAAAAAACTGACCACATACATGTACAAGTGCATTTCACTAAAGAGAAATCTGAACCAGTTGAAATATTAACCAACAGTGGAATTTAGCCCTCAGTTTAGATTTTAAATTTTTTAAAGAACTCCAAAGCATGAAGGATTTCCTCCAAAGTATGGTTGTACCGATAATATTATTGCATTGACAGTGGACTTGGTCATACGTGCCTGTATTGAAGTGAAAAGTATGTGTACACCCTTGGTGTACATGAACATGGTACGTGAAGTGTGATTTCTCATTTTTGCGTCTGTTACGGAACCAGAACCGTGCCTCCAACAGGAATTTGTTCAGCCAAAACCTGCAGTGAGCAACCTCACACCAGGATGGATGTGGGGCTGGATCAGCCCAGGGGGGCTATTTTTGCAGGGGAAAAATAATGAAAAGCCAACTGCTTGAATTGCCTGTCCCCCGTACTGTGAGCCCTGGCCCCCTGTTAAGCCAGGGTCATGCGCCAAACCTCACCCCACTGAGACAAGAAAATATCAGGCCTCCGCACCTTGCAGAGTCCGACCCTGGAAACAACCAGACTTTATCCACCCCCCAGGGGGAATTCTAACCCCCTGGGCAGGTCATATGTGACCATGTAAGTCTGGAGTAGTGCATTCACAGCATGGGGGAGATCAGTAAGCACGCTGGAGCCCTCATCGTAGGGGTCAAGCTGTGGTAATTGAGCTGTGGGGGCAGATTTGTACATAAAGAGCTTAATTAATTGTTAGGGTGGACAAGGGGGGACACTCCCTCCCTCTGTCATCCAGTGTGAGAAAACTCTGCTAACTTGGCAGGCAGTCTGGTTGAATTCTCTGAATTTATTGATTCCTTACAAATTTAATATCTGTGGCTGACTCAGCTGATATTGAAGATTTTTACTCCCTTATGATATCTTGGATAAATATTGCATGTTGCAGATTGATGGAAAAGTTGATATTCCAATGTGAGGTTGTGTCATCATGATTCATGAAATTCATGTTGCGTCTTTGATGCATGTTCAAGCAAAACTATCAAAACAGTATTTTGGGGGGTACAAACCTGTGGTGTTGAAATATCAGTAATTTGGCTGCAGTGTCAAAAGAATTTCTGTTTTTAATGTCATTTCAAAGCCACCATAATCGCTTTATGATTCACATCTAATGGATATTACTGGGACATGTAAATTGTTTGAATGTTTTATTCCAAGGTGATTTATTATTTAAAAGTAAAAGGTTCAATAAACATTTTAGTGAAACAAGAAGATAAAAAATGTATGATAGGATGGAAAAATACGTGGATTGTACCAGTAGCCAGAACTGACAACACCTGGAACCATTGGGAAGAAGGGGAGGGGATAAACAGCGAACGTTGTCACCTCAGTAGCTTACAGAAGATGGGATTGAAAATTTGGAGGTCAAATCTCTTGCAAAAAGCCATCATCTCATTCATCAGCATTTTGAAAGAACACAGCAAGGTCTAGGCACTCTACTCAATCAGAGGTTTGGTTGTTGCTTTGTATTCTAACCCATTAAGAAAGAGTTTGCATTTGAGTTTTTTTAGGCCATGTTGGGTTCTTGTTAACTCCCAAAAGGGTTCCTGGGAAAATGCCAGAGCTACATTTAGGATTACCTATATATATGTAAATAAAAGTGTGCTATATACGCGCAAGCAGGTGTACTTTGGGAGCCTTGTATCATGTTGAAGCAACACATACATGCAAAACATACATGTAGATACAATCTGGTACCATTCCAACAGATTCAAAGATAAACCAAAAAGCAAACTTTGTGAACCATATGTTTCAATTTCCCATTCTTTATTACCCAAGGTGACCATCAACAACCTACAACATGAATGTAAAATCTGTTATAGCATTCCCTGTAGTCTAGATTTTACTTCAAGGTTTGCCTTGATCTTTTATAAACTTTCTTTTTCTTGTCCTAGAAATTTCTCAGTAATTTGTCTAGTTGGTGATGGATGTCCAGTCCCATAATTTGGAACTGGATTCTGATATTAACAGTCTGGTACTCGGGTACCCTAGCCTGCTGCGATGCCCAGCTGGAGTAAATTGTAAAAGAAAAGCTCCTTGCCTCAGGTTAAGACTATGAATTAGTTTTCAGTTCTATTCATGACATTTCTTTCTTTTTTTTTAATCTTGTAGGTGGTGCATTTTTGAAGGGATTAGCTATTGGTGAAGCTGGACCGTCTTCCAGACCTGATGACATTGACGAGGACGGGCTCTCATTTTTATCAGACGACACCAAAAGCAAGAAAGGTCAGCCAAGTCATCAAAGACTTACAATCTTTGCCACAGCTAGGGAAATAATCGGGGAGGAAATATCATACAATGAACTTCCCTTTCCTGGTCGAAAAAGGCAAAATGTGACACACTATCCTGCACCCAGGCACTTGCTTCCTGTTGAAAAAAAAAATCAGGAGTTTTGTGATTTTGGGATTTGTTGTTGAGGGTATTCTTGAAAGGGAGCTAGGTACATGTGCATGCATGAGTTTGACAAAGACTGCCTGGCTTTGCATTGGGTTACAACAGACTTGAGTGTCGTTTATGCCTGTTGTTGATGAACTTCAGAATTGTTAAGAGAAAATCTACCACTGTTAACTACATGCACAATGACCTGAAATGCACAAATCTGCAAGTTAGAGGGCTTGACTTCTCGATCCTAACGGAATTCTCAGTGGAGAAAATTCTTAGCATTAAGGCCCCCCCAAAAAGTGGTATTTGTATTGTATCCCAAACTTTGTAAATATGTCCAACATTTTTACTGGCTAAGGTCAGATCACATGTGGAAACTTTACCACTTTTGCACTGTACACGCCCGCACAAATCCAGAGGTGAAGAGAATTGAAGAGGCATTCTTTATTTTCCTGCCTGACAAGGCAGGAAAACATATACATTGTTCATAAAGGATCAAAACTTGCACTTGTACAAACATGAAATACAAGTAAGGTTACTGATGTTTTTGAGGGCTGAGTACCTGTAACATACACTGTAGAAACATAATTCATGAGGCCAAAGGCTGAGTAATATAATGGGACACAGATGCGCTGCATTATTCCGTGTTCCACAAGTGCGAGCGTCATAATGAATATGGCACCACCAAGAGGTTGCAATGCCTTGGCCAATCACAATGGGCAAAATCTGTCAACCCTGTGTGCATTTGAAAAGGGTCGACAGATTTCGCACTGCTGTGAATGGCCAACACGTTGCAAACTATTTGAGGCGCAGCACTGTGAATTCCCCGTACTTATCTTATAGGGGCCTCTGCGCGCAAATGCACCACCTTTCAATTTGCAGTAAAGTTTGCAGCTGTGCGTTTTACTTTAAGCGTAAAATAGCACAATGTGTTGAGTTATAATAGTGCATTACGCTGGGTTTGATACGAACCGTGCAATACAGTTACAGATCACACTGCTTGTTGCCATGGATCGACCAATCAGAATTGAAAATTCAAGTTTGCTGAAGAAAGAATGTGAACAAAATATAGAAACAGGACATAATATGGACTCAAGCTTAAAAATGGACAGCTGAGTAAGTAGGCTGGTTCCATGGCCATCCATTACTACCTAGACTGTTACAAGAAGGGCTTGGTTACTTTAATGTTCCTTGATTTCACACATGAAAACCTGTAGCTTGTTAGTGACTTGTCCTAAATCAGTATGGATGTTTGCTTGTGCTTTTAGGTCCTACTTTGTTATATATTTAGTTTCTGTTTGATCATCTTCAGCTCGATCAAGTGCCGGAGAATCTTCACATCTTGAGGAGTCAACAAAGAGCCCCAGCTGTAGCCATTTTAAGACGTTTTGTGATGATGACAATGACTCAGTTGCCTCTGAGAGTGAGGGAAGACATCCATTGAAGCTACACGTAGCTAGAAACGGTAAGCATATTTCTTAAGAGTAACTCAACTTGTGCTACCATGACGACGTTGAGTTCCTCTGGGAGAGATAACGCTTGGTACATGTGCTTGTTTTTTGACCCGGTGATAGTTTTCATTTTTAACCTTAAAAAAGAGATTATTTTCTTCCATTTTGCGTACCTTGTCCATAACGCATCATTTTAGCTACAAAATTTCAGTATCATGCAACTTCAGACTTAGCTGTCGTCTTTCCTGTAGACACCCGAGCAATTTTATGAATTAGTTTTCCTGTCACAAATATCTCTGAAGAAATTTCCATCTCTACCACAAAGCCCATGCTTCACTTTACTGGGGCTGAAAAGGACACATGTTCTTATGGAAGCCCCTAGCTCGTGTCTTTATTCATTTCTCATATATTTTTTTTGGGGGGGGGGCCATAGCCAAGTAATCCAGGCATAAGCCAATATACATGCAGCTTACTTCCCGGGCATGAAGTTCTTTAATATTCAGTATTTCACATGGGAACACCAAAGTAAGATCATTTACCGATCAGTCGTTTCCTGGTACTAATATGTTGTTAGCTGTTGATGATTAAGGACCAGTGAAATGTGTGTGACAGTTACATGTACTGGTACTTGTTCTCATTTCTATGCACAAACGCCCTCTTCAGGTCACGTACAGAATCCGTATTGTTGGGATTTATGAATGCTCTTGGAATAAACTATGATTTTCCAGGGGCTTCAATTATTTAGTACCTTACACGTATCATTGTTGTACTCTTTTGGACTTCAGAAGCGCAGTCAGAAGAATTGCTTGACCTCGACGATGATGATGTGGCCATTGATGATGATGTAGAGGATGTTGGAGAAGAGGAGGACGAAGAAATCTATAAATGTGACACCTGTAACTCAGCCTTCTTGAGTATTGCTGACTTCATGGATCACAGGAACTATGACTGCGATACAGGTTAGAACAGTGATGGATTAGAAACTGAGAAATCATGTCCCTGGGGCTCACCTGTCAAGTTGCCCACTCCCTCCCCCCCCGTTTGTGTTTAATCTTTTTCTTTTTAAAAGAATTATTTAAAGTGCCATCATTTTAGTGCCACCACCTTTTTTCTTTTTACAGATGAATAATATCCCAGTTGGAAAATTGTTTATTAGAAAAAATAAATTCCATTGTGCCTCTCTGGACCTGAGGCTTACAGTAGATATGCCACTGGGAAAATATTAGAGATGAGGTGAGAGACTGTCACGGCAGTGATGTGTAAAGTTTGATGTCATAAATTTGCATAAAGCATTTCGTAAGTCCACTTATGTTTATCGTAGTCACATTGTCTTGTCTTAACTGAAGAATTCAGTATTCTAGGAAATAAGGAAATAAATTATAAAAACTGCTTCAAATGTCAAGCTAGGTGAAGACTTGAAGGGAAAATACAGAATTTATTTTACCAGTTGTTTTGTCTTTACAATGTAGAAAGAAGCTTGCAGTTTTAAAATGCATCTGTTTTCTACCTTCTCTGTAGATATTGGAATTGGTGAGGTTGGGGATTCACCAAGCAAATTCTCCATTTCTGGCTCTGGTAAGTTTAAGAGAATTCTTGGGCTGTTTTTCGGATTTCAGCATTATCTGCCTCTTTGGCTTCATCTCAGGTGCCAAAATTATGAATATTTACTATGGCAACAAAATATAAAAACACTTTAGAGTTTTGCAATATGCTGTTATTTTCGACAAGTTGATGTTTGTACTGTAGATATGTACACATTGGTGCATTGAATTGAAGGGCCTTCACTGGTTGGACAAGTGTCATGAATGAAAGGGGAAAATGAGAATAAGATGTTTAAAACCCTTCTGATTTGAAATAAATCATGCCCTCGAGTAAAAGTCTGCAATTCATGTAAGTTCTAAAAATGGATGCATGCATGTTTTTACATTAAAGCTGCCAACATTTGCCAAGTAGCATGGCTTTACTTTTATGGCATGTCTTTGTGGAGTGGCACTCAATTTTTAAAAATTTGTTTTATGAGATATTTAGTGACAAGTGTTTCATTGAAACTTTTGATGCATTTTTGCAGATGAGGGAAATTCTTCAAGTGAACTCCTAGACCCAGAGTCACCTTACGCCTTAGAGCAAGGATCCCTAGACAGCAGTCTGCCCTATCATTGCCAGTTCTGCGATAGAGCATTTCACCGATTGACATACCTAAAGAGGCACGAGCAAATCCACAGCGACAAGATGCCATTCAAGTGCCCCTTTTGCAGCCGGCTTTTCAAGCACAAACGGAGCCGGGATCGCCATGTCAAGCTGCACACCGGTGACAAGAAGTACCAATGCACCCAGTGTGATGCCTCCTTCTCTCGAAGCGACCATCTCAAGATCCACCTTAAGACTCACGCAACTGGGAAACCCTTCCGTTGTCCAATCTGTAACCGTGGCTACACCACTTCTGCAGCCTTGACTGCTCATACTCAGAACTTTCACAAGACTGAAATGGTGGGAAAGGGCAAAGACTTTAAGTGTATGCATTGCTCTGCCGTATTCATGACATCCGAGAGTCTATACAGTCACCTCCAGACTCATGTCACCGATTCGCCAGATGGAAAAACTGCCTTATACACAGTCACTCACATGAATGGGGAACCTTTTGCTGAGGCTGTAGATCAGAAAGATGAAAACAAATGTCCGATCTGTGAGGAAACCCTGACATCCATAGATGAGCTCCAAGCTCATTTAGAGATGCATAAGGACAGCATGAACCTCCCTTTACAGTGCCAATACTGTCCGAGGGCTTACTTTCCAAGCATTACGGTGCTGAATGTACATATGAAGACCTTACATGCAGACAAACTGTCCAAGATACATCAATGTCAGTACTGCGGCAAAGAATATCCAACCTTGTTCAACCTGACTGAGCATATGTCAGCAATGCATGAGCCTCTTGGTACCCATTCCAACAGCTCCAATCAAACCACTCCCTCTAGTACAATGCTGTCGTGTGCATACTGTACCATGGAGTTCAGTTCAGGGCATGCTCTCCGAAGCCACATTGACAGCGTTCATTCGATCCCCAATGCGATCACTTACGATGCGGATGGGCGCCTTCTCTGCCCACGTTGCAGCATGGGGTTTCTTACTGAAGCAGCTCTCTACGAGCACTTCCAGAACTACCACTGCAACTTGGATTGCCAGTTGACTAACGATGCCCGAGTCCAGTGCCACCAGTGCACCAAGGTATACCCCAATCAAGCGATGCTCCACGAGCACATGAATCGTAGTCATAGTCAGGCTCTCGACAGCATGAAGTACCCCTGCCCCTACTGCATCAAACAGAACCTCTTTGACTCCATTGAGCAACTCCAGCTCCACGTCCAGGTCTTTCACCAGAGCGACCGAGCTCCAGTTTTTCTCTGCCCAGAAGAGGACTGCAAGGGGCACTTTGACACAGAAGAGGCTCTGAGTGAACACCTCAAGAATGACCACAGTCAGGAGAACACCAACAGCAAAGAAACAGCCCCAGCGAGCAAATCCGGCCATCCAGGAAAAAACAAAAAGGAGAAGAATAAGGAGCGAAGTAAACACAAAGAGAAGCGGAAGTCGTCTGCTGGTAAGCAAACACCAATCAGATCTTCACAGCCAACCCCACCAGGGGAGCCCGGCAACAAGCCTGGGGACTCACAGCTGTCTGAGCCACAATCTTCTGACCCCCAGTCATCTACCCATCAAGACAACCAAGGAGCTTTCTCTTGCCCCACTTGTCACAACGAGTTCACCAGTGAGGAACAATTGGTGGTCCACGTACTCACCCACTATAAGACCATCTCGGCAGAATACATTTGCAAAGATTGCGGCAAGAGTTTCAAGAAACCGGATGAGCTACAGAAGCACCTGTTTGAAATCCACGCTCACCACCTCTACAAATGCTCCCTCTGCAAGGAGGTGTTTGACTCTAAGGTCTCCATACAGGTGCATTTTGCCGTGAAGCACAGCAATGAGTGCAAGCTCTTCAGCTGCATGAAGTGCGGTGTGGTCTACCGCTCCGAGGGGGACCTCTTAGTTCACGTCAAATTTGAACACTTGAAGATCACGCAGCCCTTCAAGTGCCTATTCTGCAGTCAGAGCTTTGCTTCTGACGTTGAGTTTCAGTGTCATCTCACCTCCCACTCGGAGCAGTTTCGTTGTCCATTCTGCAACGCTCCATATAGCTCCCAGGAGACCCTTGAAGTGCACTTGCGAGCCACGCATGATTACCCAAACCCTTCACCGAATGTACAGAAATCCCTCACAAACAAGGAGTCACCATCCGACAAGCCGGCATGCAGCTCCTCTGACTCGGATAACAATCTCAAGGAAGGCAACGATATGAAGGATGAGGAAGAAGGCTGCTTCATCTGTAAGATTTGCGATGCCAAATTCCCACTAAAGGTACTCCTTGAAAAGCATCACCTGAAAGAGCATGATATCCAAGCTCGCAGTGCCTCAATCCAGTCTCAGATGTCCTCTGTGACACCCCAGAGTCAGGAACCCAAGAAGAAATACAAGTACCCCTGTGACACCTGCTCACAAAGTTTCAAGACCAAGTATGAGTTAATGAAGCATGCCATTGAGCACACTGCAGAGTTCAAATTGAGATCAGAAAATGAGTCTCCCCCACCCATGAGCGTTTCCTCCAAACAGCCAACCTGGCACTGCAAGTGCTATGTCTGTAAGCAACCCATCCAGATGGAGACAGAGTTTCTAAGTCACGCCCAGCAACACAATGAAGAAATCGCCGGCCCAGGTAACACCATCCGCTGTGTGGCTTGCTTGCAGATACTGACCTCCATGGTGGAACTTCAACTTCACGCCAGGTACCACACCCAGGCTCCACCCTCCACAGGGGTGCATGAGTTATACCCCTGCTACGTGTGTGGTAAGACATTCGGTTCCAGAACGGACGTGGTCCCCAAACTGGATAGCAGCAATCACCCTTGCTTTATGTGTCTCAACTGCATCAAGGCCTCTCTCGAGAGCCAGTTTTCAGGTGTCTCCTCTGGAACCTCTTTTGTCAAGATGCCACTGAATAACAATCACCGCTGCCCAAAATGCAGCGTGAAGTTTGAGACTCGCGAGGAGCTGGACACTCACCTCCTGACTCATGGCTCAGGGAAGACATACCAGTGCATCAAATGCCAACAGAACTTTGCAACAGAGATGGAAATACAGCTTCATGTCACGACTCACGTGCTCTCTGAGGGGGTCCATCTTGAGTGTAAACTGTGCAAAGATATCTTTGACTCCCCTGCCAAGCTACAATGTCATCTAATTAATCACTCCTTTGCTGATAAGGAATACCGATGTCCGGTATGCAAGGCAATGTTCAGCTGTGCCCAGGACATCCAAGCTCATGCAATTGAGCATGGGATGGAGGCACGGCGTCACAAGTGTTCTCAGTGTAGCCAGACTTTCTTTTTCTCGGCCGAGCTCCAGAACCATGTCTTGTCCCATCCCAGCCAGGAGGACCTTGGGATCTTCAGGTGTGACGAGTGTCGTCGTGTCTTCTCCTCTAGTGCCAGCCTGAGCAACCACGCCCGCTTACATGCTGCCCCACCCGATAAGGGCTTCAAGTGCTCCATCTGCATGGAGATGTTCTACTCCACGGTGGAACTGCAGCAGCATTACTTCCGAACCCACTCAGAGGCTGAGCTGGGATGCAAGAAGAAATCCTTCAAGTGTGGCCAATGCGATGAGGTGTTTCCCTGTCTGAGTAACCTTCAGGGACACATGAGAATTCACACTGATGGACGTAAGTACACCTGTACCATATGCAATAAAGTCTTCTCTTTATCGCGTAATCTGACTATCCACATGCGATCACACAGCGGGGAGAAGCCATACCAGTGCCCGATGTGCGACAAACGTTTCGCCCGTAAAGAGAACAGAAAGGTGCACTTGAAATCACACACAGGCATCAAGCCCTTCATGTGCCCCCACTGCGGTAAGATGTTCTCGCGTAAGTGCCACGTCAGAGACCACATGAGGACTCACGGCATGGTGGTGGCCCGTGGCAACCTCTTGCAGTGTGATCTCTGCCAGGAGAGCTTCACCTTGGCCAAGAATCTACGCCGACACATCCGTCGCATCCACAAGGAGGAAGGGACCTCTCAGAGCAGCTCGGCCTCCCCTCTCAGTTCGGCAGAATCTCTGATGGGCGAAGATGAAACCTCACCAGAACTCGGCATCTCCTCTGAGAGTGACTCCCTAGGTGCAGAACCAGTTGTCAGCAGCAGTCAGGATCCCCAAGCAACGGAAGAAATGCAGGTTCTCTAAAAAAAAAAAGGGAACTAAAATTGGTTGAAAGGCATTAATTTGAGGTCTGTCCTCTATTACAAATCCTACACCCTGTGTAGAATTGCTACTCCTGTTTCATTCTCAATTCCACCTCCAAAACACCTGCCAAGAATCTAGCCTGAAATCACTGGTCCTTTTCCAGGGAAATATGGTGAACTTATTCACAAACTATAGAGTAGTAGTGTAATTCACTCAAGTGATGTCATATCATGTAACTTTAACAACTCATTTATCTGGCAGTGGACGCTTATAAAGTTGATACATGTAAGTGCATTTTGTTTTTAAAACAGCATAGAGCCTGAAAGTAAAACGTCAAGCAGCGAGCTTCTGGAACCCTCGCCTACGGGGATTTTTCATGGGGCCATCCTATCACGTTTGATAACTTTTGGAAGAATGATTGCTTACTGAAACCACCCCATGAAAACTCATGTTGGAATTTAACCTTTGTCTTCCTCGACTAATATTTAGGAAAAGTCACTGGAGGTGGGTAAAAAATGAATTTTATCAACGACCTTTCATGTCCGGTGATATCGTACCTAGGTCTCCTTGTTTAGTGCACGCTTGTTTTCACTCCCCGTGCTTACGTGAAAACGAGATTGTAAAATGTTGCTACCTGTAGTCAGTGGGTTCCATGTTTTGTTGATTTGGCATAATGCAGTTGTTGTCAGCAAATTTGAATAAAATATTAGAATCTTTCGTAAAAGTAGATTATTGCTTTAAGTTTATTACCTTATAAATCAAAACAGTTTTTGAAATATTTGATCTGTTTTTGTTTCGGCTGTTACCGACAGACTACCATAAAGTTTCAAACTGGAAATGTTCATCTGTGCAGGAAACTGCCACATTGCACTGTTCTTCATGTATTTTAGATTGTCAGAAGTGATGGGTCATTTTTTTGGGCAGGATATTTCTCTTTTAGGTCGGGTGATATTTTAGTTTCTATTAATTGATATACTAGCAAATATTTTCCAAACAGATTTTTTGAGAAGTAACTGAACGAAAAAAATGTTACAAATTCAAAACTTTTTGCACGTTATTTTCCTATCGGAGGGTTCCGGAAGCGCACCATCAGGGGTCAACTTTCAGGCTCTAAGCCACACTTTTGAGAATTTGAATATATACAGCTGTTATGGATTTTTTTCACTACACATAAGCCTTTTTAAAATGGTTTGGGGAGTTATTTTAACAAGTCTTTCCATTTCGCACATACAAATGATTTGATATTCAGGATAGCGTTAAGCAAGCAAACCACACGTTTTCTATGGCAAGGCAATTTGGGGTTTATCCTGATCGTGCCGAGTTCAATAAAGAACTACTTTCTTTTGGATTTCGTCATTCAGAATGAACAACAAATCTTTTCTTTCACTTGGCTCCTCATTCTCATTTTGTCATGTTAGGCTAGCAGGAAAACCACATGTGGCATGGTCAGAATTCAAGCTTAGTGAGGATGCCCAAATTTGCCATCAACAAAACTAGTAACTCATCTATAACAGCACAGATTTACAGATTCAGTGAGTTATCTGATGAATTTAATGCAGGGTTATAATAATCTGTGCCTCCACCAACGAATACTCAACGAAAAGTCCCGATGTGTGTTGAAATTTGGTTAGTGTACATTTTTAGTTATACATGATGAAGTAACACTTTGCTTTGGGTTAGTTAGAACACGGTGAAAGTCAAATATTGAAACACTTTTTTATGTAGTAATCCTTTTTTTCAAAGATTCCCATTTAACAGCATGCATCAGTATTTATCGTTTTATTTTTGGGAAATGTAAACTCTTAAAAATGTAAAAATGAAGGAAAATGGTTTTTGCCCCATTTAGTTTTAGTTTTTATCATTGGTTAAAATCATTATTCCATTAAGATCTGTCATTCATACAGGAATTTTGATTCGAATGGGTAAAACATGTATCTATAGGACTTTAAGAAATGCTGAGGTATTACCCAATCTGCTTTTATCTGTTTCATATAGAGGATTTTAAGCTTATGTCATATGCAGACGTACCCTATAAAGGATGTTTATACGTTTGACGGGGTAATCTAAATTGGATAGTTTTGGTTTGTTAGCTTGAATTTCAACTAAAATTGTCCAATTGTATAATTAATGCCAAGAGGCCACCTGTAGTGTGGATTGTGCGTGAATGAGAGAAGCGCGGTGGTAGACTTTTCCCAGTCCTTCCAGTGTTATTCAAACGAAAGAATTTGGGACTGTTAAAACAGAGCAGAACGTGCCTGTGTTATGAGCCATGCAGGGCCCTGTAGGCCATGACATACGATAATGAACGTGGCCCATGGCTGGTCGGCCCAACCTTTCCGTTGGTGACTGAGGAGGGCACGGGCATAGGTTGGATGTACTTTGCGTGAGACACTTCTGCGGTCGTTACGTGTTTGCCAACCCACAAATTCAAAACATTTTCATGATCTCTTTAAAAGCACACAACACCAGGTGCTTATATATTTATGTTATTCAGTCGCGGAATCCAGTATCAGATAAAACCTGTTTCTTACCATATCGAGAATCCAGCTTCTGAAGGGACACTTTTTCCCCTGTGTGAGGGTGAAATAAATCATTCTTGCGAGCTGGCTTTTTGAAAACAAAGAATCATTTCAAAAGAGTAATTTGACTGAGGTACTTTTTTGAATATGGCAAAAAGGGTTCGTTTGTTTTTATTAAAGTCGGATGCATAGGTACTGTACGTATTTCCTTCACAGACTTTCCAGTGGTAAACTGCTTAATGTGTACATTGTAATTAAGATATTGTCACAGCGCAATTTGTAACCTGTATCTTATTCAGAGGTAAAATGACAGTGACTTTACCCAGGCGCTGTGTAATCTGTGGTGTTTGAGTTTCATTGAAGGAAGTACTGGTGTTAATTTTGGTCTTTTATTCTGTTTGTAGATGTGTATTATTTTTGTCAATGATTGGTATGCATAATCATATATATTTGGTTCATGGCGGTTAAGCATAATACTGCAAAAGTATGTCAATAAAATGGTTAAGGCCAAGCCTTATGAGACAAAGATAAAAGACTTCATTCGGAAATGTTTATGATATCAAACATAAGCTCCACCAAAGCTCATTTGATTTCGGTATCTAACAAACTTGCAGCTCTTGACAGAAAAAGTCCAGGAACAGGAACAAATTAAATGATCTTATTCCTAAATGTATTTGGGAAAGTTGTAACTTGTAAGCAGCTTGGAGTTGAACATGCGCACATTGCATGAGGTCATTACAGTTCTTTGTTTGAACAGGATACAGTCTCTTACGTGACTGCTAGGAAATTCATTCAGCTCCTAAGCCGAGAGAACGAAGCGGCTGTTAGAAATATAGAAAATTCCGGTTACCAGAGTAACGCATCACTGGTAATTTGCAGTGGCCCTCTTTACTGGCATTACGCATTGTAACAGCTGTTCTATAGAAATGCTGTTCCGTGACAGTCGCTTGGTACATAAACCGGCCCAACGCAATGCTTGCCGCTATTCGAGGGGGCCATAGGATTGTCTGATAACACGTGTCCGTCCTAAACCGTCTGTTATGCAATATTTCCCATACCTGTTTGACCTCCATCGGAGCCATCTTTGCCATGGTTGGTCAGAGTCACTCAGCATAAAATAATGACGCAGCCTGGGACAGGGTTAAAGAAAGGAAGGGGTGCATAGACTTAGTTTACCTCTTAATTTTGAAAAAAAGAAAAAAAAAACAATGTAATGATGACATACAAGCACCGGAATTTTTCCCTTATTCTCACCACCGACAGATGAATTTGAAAATAAAAAAACGACGCCGATGCCTCAGCGGTTCCCTTGTAGCTAAAATTGAACAAGAAAATCTGCAGTGTCCCGCAGATTTTAGCACCTGAAGCCCAATTTGGAGGCAGTTTGATTTCAAACAAGGGAACTGTGGAATAAGTAGACGGTGACACTATGCAGAGGTAATTGTAATATCCGTTGTTCTTGGAAGGCTTGGGGATGGCTTCCAGTTTATGTTGTGTTTGGTCTGGTCTGGAAAGGGAAAAAGCGAAAATCCATAAGCCAGGAGGGGGTCGGGGGTCGGGGGTCGGGGGTGAACGATTTCCCCCTCCCCCTATGATTCCTTGATTCTGATTGAAATGCTCAAGTGGAGTCACTGCTGAATTTCATTCTGGCGCCCATAAAAATCAATATTTAGGGAGGCACAACTCTGAGTTAAGGCGTCGGTACTTTCATTCTTTCCTAACTTCACGCATATCCACAAATAACCTGGGACAACGATTGTGTTGGTGTATGTCGGCACAACAGGCATCTGCCTAACACTGAAGGTTAAAGAAGGCTGGGATTTTGAATACATGTATTCCTTCTTTTTTTAAATATTTTGTTTTTGACTTATAAGCAAAATAGGGAAGAAGCAGATAAAACTTAGTTGGCACTTGATGATTAAATTCAAACTTTCTCTGGTTTCCTTCCTTGCCCCATCTTGACCTCCGTTGATTTGGTGTTGTTCAACTTTTGATCGAATACAAGTCTAACCCATCTCAATATTCCAGTGCCGAAAGAGAATCGCAGCGGATCAAGGCGTTGATCATCATCAAGTGGATATTGGGGTCAGAGGTGTGACATGAGGTAACCCGCCTGTGTTGTAAAAATATGGGGAAAATTCATTTAAATGCGAAATCCCGCTTGAAAATCCAATGAATCGATGTGATGTGTGATGCCAACTTTCATAAAGTTGGCAGGTTTAACGTGGCATGCATTATTTGGGGAAAAGATTAAATTCAGACTAATCTGGTCTTAGCAGCGTTTGCAGATGTTCCATTCACAGGATATTTATGGCGTTTATGTTAATAGTCCTCTATAATAAACTTTCATTCACTGGAGTGGCGTTTTATGGCCAGTTGTCGCCACAACTTGACGTTCTTTTCGTAATTTCACAAAAGAACACACCGTGCGCTGATCAATTCATGTCTTCATTTTAGTGCGGGTTACATTTTCTCTTAGAACTGGCGCTGTTCACATGGAAATTCGAGGAGAAGAAGCTAAAATAGTTAGTCAGAGGCTGTTACTTTCCTTCAGATAATAAAAATGTTGGTTTCGGACTTAAGGCCAACATTATGGCGACTGATGATGATCGGTTTCATTCTTCATATCTCTGGTAAGTCTTACTGCTAAAAATTGACAGCTATCAACTCACTAGCCGGTTTTTTTACATACAAGGAATGGACTGCTTCGATTCTCACTTCCACAGCCCAGTCTGGATGATGCTTTAATTTTGATTTTGAAAATGCTTGGGAGTATCGTCATGATGAGGTCACGTCGCTGCCAAAGTGTTGTGTCTCAATTTTATTAGGTGCCGTCGATTCTGGCTGCGGTGGACCGAGAAAGTTGACTGCGTTGACTGGTACCCTGTCCTCTATGAACTACGGTAACGCCTCCAACCCCTTCTACGACAACAACGCATTTTGCTCGTGGTACATTCAGGCTCCTACAGACTGGGTAAGGCAAAGAAACCAGTCCATGATTCAAGGAACATGTCCTTCAAGCTGAAATCTTAGCCAAAGAGATCCGTAATTCCCTTTTGTAATCCCCCATAAAAAACGAGGGCGTTCTGATGTCACGCCCTTCCGTAATTTTGCTTGTTAAGCATTTTGACCTTATTCAGGTTATTAAAGGGGTATTGTCTAATTACAGTCAACTGAAGTTGCAGGTAATATATTGTCCAAACAATAATTGTTTACGTCGTGTGTTTTGAAACAAATCAGTATGTAACAATCAACTCTTTCATTAATATGCTGTTCTGGGAGATGATCAGAGCAAACTAGTGGAAACATCGAGCGAATGTTACCACCGATGCTTCTAAGAACCGTCCTCTCACCAAAGCTTGGACATTCGAACATAACTTTCCTGTTACGTCAATTCGCAGATCATCACTCTGACGTTCGAGTACATGGATATAGAGCCCAGCTTCCGCTGTATGGCCGATTACGTTGTCGTACACGGCCCCTGGGCAGACTATGTAGGAAGACCTCCTCCCGCGCCTTACTGTGGGACCAACCCCCCTCCCCCCGTCCAGGGAGAGACAGATGGGCTGTACGTGACTTTCATCACAAATGATAACTTGGCTTACAGGGGGTTCTTGGCAACATATGAAATCAACCCACCACCGTGTGAGTATGGCGACGTTCTTAAATTGTAATTTGGATACCTCGATATAAAAACAAACTACTTAATGCGACCAACCTCTGATGAAGCAAGCTCGATCCCTTCATCTGTCACTGTGAAAGCTTTTTTTCCACTGTAAACACTTGTTCATTTCGGGCACCTGTCCATTGTGACCACTCAGGCTCGCCTATGGTAACTACCTGTGTACAGTGGCCACCTATCCTTTATGGACTCTTGTCGTTTTCTTTCAAAATTCATTGATAGCACCAACTCCGCCTGAGTTGGCCACTTCTGGCTGTGACAACCTAAAATATCGCAAGGAGCCTTCAGGAACGATATCCAGCATGGGTTATGACGAGAACTCGAAGTATCTGAGTGACGCCGAGTGTGAGTGGGTCATTACCGCTTCGGTTGGAAAAGTAAGTGAATTTCCATTGTTTATGAATGCACATTTAGTTAATCGATTACACTAAAAATAAAAAGCGACCATGGCAGAAATAAGATGGTACAAAATTTGGATTCATTGATTTTTTTCCAAACAACTTCTTTCTGAAAAAGACAATATCTACCACAAGTAATTATGTTTTATACAACAAAATTCCAGCGATACTTGGAAAACACTAACGTGACCTTTGGCATCTACCACGTGACAGGTCATCACTCTGACCTTCGTCTACTTCGATGTCGAAGGTGATGAGCTCAATTGCAGATACGACACGCTTCTGGTTTACGATGGCCCAAATGCCTCATTCCCGTTGCTTGGCAACTACTGTGGTAACCAGGGCCCGTCTCCCGTGACGTCATCCCAGCATGAGATGTATCTGCGTTTCAGGAGCGACGGTTCCATAGAAAAGTCAGGCTTTCGACTGAGTTACGTTGAGGAGAACCCTCCATGTTCGTGCATTTTGTTTTCATCTTAATTCATTTCATCCATTTTAAATTTTTCAGGGTTTGTTGCCAAATTGGGGGTTTCAGTAGGGCTTATGTTTTTTTGATCAGCATTAAGGAGCGCTCGGCAGAAGTTGTTGTTTGCTATTGTTTTGCCAGACGCAACAACTCTTTGTACCAGTATGTAGGCCATATCACACCCTCTATCTCTTGTATTATCGATGTTTATGATTGGTTCGAATCTTTAGCGTCCAGTGGTCCAGCTGCTACCGACCTAACAAGGTCTATGCCCTGTGACACTGGGACTCCTGTTGAACCTCTCCAGTTCATGAGGCTTGCTTTGCACAGAATTTATCAAGTTCGGCTCAGTAGAACGAGACAGTCGAACTCTGAAGATTGGATCAGCTGAACGAAGTAACAGCACAGAGATTGAGATGCAAGCATCAGTTTCTCATATTATTCTGATAACATAAAAGACTACCTTTATTAGGTTTCTCCCGATGTGTACATGGTTTAGGATTTCAGCACGAATTATGTCTTCTGAAAATAATTGACCTTGTTTGACCCTGTAAACCTGTTTACGTCCAGGTTTATTGTTTATTTTCTGATAGTTACCTGCCCTGTAGGCACGTTCCAGTGCGAGAGTAATGATATCTGTCTGGATCGTAGTGTCTTGTGTGACGGGCAGAAGGATTGTCGTGATGGGAGTGATGAGGCTGGATGTCCAGGTAATGTGGATATCCATTCATGGAGAGAATGGTTGATTCCCTATGTAAGCAGGAATTGATTGTAATGCTGAGACTAGGATTTGGGTGACCGTAGGACAGTTTTTAGATTGATTGAATGTGTGGAGCAACTTTTATCCATAACTTTCGACCCCGTAGATGAGCTGAGGAATTAATAACTCGAGGTAATTTAAGGTGGAGAAAAGATTTAATGATTTCAAATAGTAGGTCCCAAAAGTTGAAACTGACTTTAACCTAAAACTTGGTTGGGGAAGTGCATGTCATTTTGCTTTTGACTCTCTTCCGTTTCTAGTTGCTGATGGTCTTTTCTCATTCTCATTATCCAGCGAACGATCCTTCATGTGGGATATCAGTCGTAAACCCTGACTTTGCCTCTATCAGCATAGTGGGAGGAGGCCCTGCAGTTCCCGGCGCTTGGCCATGGCAGGTAAGTATTTGGCCATCTTTGAGGAGTTAAGACATCTCTTAAACTCCAGAAATACAATTGATAAATTTAGTTACCCTCCCACAGGTACAAGTGCGCAAGCTGTCTTACGGCCAGGTGTGTGGTGCAACGCTTATCAACGCTATGTGGGCTATCAGCGCAGCGCATTGCTTTGAACCGTAAGTAAAGAGGAAAATCAAGCTATAGGTTTATGAAAAAAGTTCCATTTTTTATTTCTCTTTGTTTACTGGTCTACCAATCGTATAAGTCGGTGCCTATGTTAACCAATTTTCTGTTTTATTATGCTTAATAAACCTAAACCCCAATCAAGGTTAACATGGAGAGATTTGACCGAACAGACCTATTTTGTCACCAGATATTTTTTAAATGGCAACGGTATTTAACTCCTCATTCCTTCGCGAGGACCTTTATCCGGATAATTGTAATCTTTTTACGAAATCCTGTCTTGAAACAGAGAACCCCTGACGACCTCCTATCGTCTGATCCTTGGCCGATACGCTAAGGACATGCCGGAACCCTCTGAAGAGCAATCTGTAGACGTCCGACAGATTATACTCCATGAGAATTACGAGAAGTACTCCTATGATAACGACATTGCCTTATTACGACTTGCTAGACCGGCTGTCATGACAGACTACGTGGCACCTGGATGCTTGCCAGGGAAATCACAACGATTCACGGACGGAGAGATTTGTCAAGTAACAGGATGGGGCTTAACTGAAAGTAAGTTGGTCCGTTCGTTCCTTGCAACAAGAGTTGAGATGATGTGAATCTCATATACGATTCGGTTTAAAGTGATCTAATCTGATTGGGATCGATTTTACGGGTTTCTAAATATTTCGACTCAAGATAGACAAAGCTTGGCTAAACACAATTTTTAACCAACAGAATCAAAATGACACTTCAAAAGAAAACTCGTCTCAATTTGTTTCGTATTGTATTTCGTTTCAAACGAATTCAAGCAACTTGGTTATAACATAATTCTGCTGGGATTAACGCACGGAATGAACGTTTCCAACCTGGAATTTCCTCAAATCAAAGTGATTCATCTCGATTTCACAGTTTGTTCCAATATGCAGCGTCAGAAAAGCAGATTTCCCTCAAACTTGTCTTCAAAGTACAAACGGAAGTAATTCAAGTTACTGGAGAAACTGCTTGTTCTTTTTGTTAGACACAGGTTACGACGACATCTTGAAGCAAGCTGGAGTACCTATAGTCGACAGTAGAGTGTGTAATGATCTTCACAAAGGTAGAATCACTTCGCGTATGATGTGCGCTGGCTACTTGCAAGGTGGTGAAGATTCATGCCAGGTATTATGATCAGTTGTTAATAACCATTGTAATAAGCTAGGTGGAAAAGCGGTTTGATTACCAACTAATAACGATGAAACATTACGCAGGAAGTATTTTGATGACTTCCCATTTGGAAATCATGCTTATTTCTCTGAGCACGTTTGTTTTTTTTGGGGGGGGGGCTAGACCCTTCGTACGTTACGTCACCTTTTAACTTTTGCTACTGCGAATCCATTATTTTCGAGCCTCTTTTATTTTTCAGAATTTTGTAGGGGGCCTAGACAATTTTTTTTGGCGGGGGTGGAGGGTGGGGGGGGGCTTATGCCCCTAGCACCCCGTAGAACCCTGCCTGGCTTAACCGTCAAGACACAAATCCATCCAATTCCAAATCGATGAACTGCAGGACATAAATACCAAACCATTTTCTCTGTATGCAGGGGGATAGTGGAGGTCCTCTCAACTGTCATGGCAGTGACGACCGATGGTATCTTGCGGGCATTACTAGCTGGGGCAATGGGTGTGCAGACGTCGACGCCCCCGGTGTCTACACGCGCGTCACCGAGTTCGTGGACTGGGTGCAAGTGAACATCCTCAGACATTTGTAATACTTGAGATGATCTCAGCGCAATGGAAACAAAAATGGAAGCATATGGATGACTTTAATACATACATGTATGTGCAAAGAGTCGGCTACGCAGTCAGTAGCTAGTAATGCCATTATTCGGCCACTATCTAGCATCTTTGCTCTCAGCCACACGGATTATCGAATCCAAACACTGGTGCTAAAAGTATTTACCAAAATTACAAGACAGAATAAAAGAAAGAAAAGAAAAAATGAACACCACGGTATTGACAAATTTTGAAACCAGATGTATACTCAAAACTAATCTAAAATACCAACTAAAAATCTCTTTAAACTACTCTTTTCAGACAAGCAATTTGCTTTTTTAACTTAACTGAGTCATAGCCTATATAGGCCTACGTGGTAATACATCATCGGTATTTTAAGAAGTTTTCATTTTGTTGTCAGACATGTCGATCTTGCAGCACAGCAACCAGTATACCCAAACAGTTACTACAAACAATGAAACCGCCATGACAATACCAACAAAGATGACGTCCAACATATAATATTGCACTGTGGTTAATGAACCCGCTGTAGATCTAAGGTAGGCACCCCCGTATAGAAGGGCATGTTCTACCCAATGACCAGCCACTTCGACCGGGGGTGCCACGTTGTGCTTCATGATGGCTGAAACGCGTTTAGCGTTGGCTGCGTAACTGTCAAAGACAAAAAAAAATGAAGAATTATACAGAAAAGGGAGAAGAACTTCAAGACTACGAGAGTAAACCTACTAAGATACATTCCTCAAGAAGGAAAGAATTGCACAGGATACGGCGAACTTCAGTATTTTCATACTGAAATAGGAAAAAATGAGTGATTTTGCCAACTTTTGAATAAAAGTGAGCAAAGGTTTATTCACCTCTCGTTGCTCAGAACCTGGACAACTGTGCGATGTAGCTTGTCTTCGGTTAATTCGGGCAGATTGATTGTCTCTGCCATTCCTCGAGTTTGGAGTCGATTGGCACATTCAAAGTGCTCACCAAAGAGCGGTATGGTCACAACAGGGACCCCGTGGTACATAGCCTCTAGCATGCCGTTGATACCCCCATGGTAAATCAACACCTTTGTCTTTGGATGACCTGAAAATTAATTAAAAAATGAAGTATAAAAAGTCGAAGCTACAAGGTTTAAGTAAAATTATAACAAGAACAGAATCCAATCAACTTTTCATATCAGTTGAGAAGACGGCCGTATCTGAATTTAAACTGCAGCTTGAAATGACGCACTTTATGGAAGTTACCGCAACCAGTTCCCATAGAGTGACGTGTGTAATTAGCCGCAGCCGAGTGATTCGGACACGGCTTAATATTCCTATTTTAATCACTAGTCTCACTTTCAGTCGTACGGATAAATCCGGATGCTTAATGAATAAAAGAAAACACCAGGGATGGTACAATCATCATGTCTCCTTTTATCACTGCCCCGTACTCGCCAGTCATGCATGCCGCGTCCAAAACAGACTTCAGCGAAGGCTAGGCCCCATACACCTAGCTGTTTCAGCCTGAGACCTGCAATGGGCAAAAGCCTAGACCTGGCTTTGGGCAAAGGACGTGACCTTTCAAAACATATATATCAATAAAAAATCTGAAATTTGGTAACACCTTCCTGCCCGTGCAAATTAATTATCAGTGTTTTACTTACCCAGAACATCATTCTGTGGTAACCATGACACCAACTTGGTGTTCTGACCGAGATTCCTGGGTGGTTCCCCTGGAAACCTCCAAAGAACCCTCTGTGGAAGCCTCGCCAGGGCACCAGCTATCATTGCTTTCATTTCATCACTCATGACGTTGACTACAGAGCCTAGTGAGAAGATGACAATGCCATGTTTCCCAGATCCTTCAAAGAAGTCTTCCAGCTCCTAGGTACAAAAGTTGTCAAGGAGAATCGTTAGGCTTGTAACATGCAATCTCAGATCTCCAGAAACCTGTCTAGTATTGGACTACGAAAACTTGAACTGAATTCAATTCAGTTCAATCATGTATTCATCAAGCCAGCATGAAACTTTCTTTCTCGGTTTGCATTTTACACATAAAACCCCCCAAACTTACAATTAGACACACAATATTAAACTGAAGAAATTTTAAACCAACAAAAACAGAAAAAACAGAACACACTATCAAATAAAATGATTGTTAAAACAGGATATAGCACCAGGTACAAAGGAAAAGCGAAAGCGATTTGTTTTCAGCTTAAGTTGACGTAATCTGACTTAACTTAGTAAAGTTTAAGAGTGGTCAAAGTGGCTGTGTATCATCGAGCAATAACGTTTCTGGTTTTGCCAACATTGCCGCCTCGTAGACTGATTTAAAATCCCAAACAATATTACCCAGAATTCTTCCCCACGGATCTAATAATTCTGTCTAGTTTGCTAAGATTCTCCGCCGTAAGGCCGTCCATGCTACAGAACAGAATGCAATGACAGACTTAATGACACTTCCATACAACATCCAGATAATATCCCGATCAACGTTAAATGATTTGAGTTTCCTCAGGAAGTAAATCCTCTGATTAGCCTTCGCACATAACGTTTGTGTATTCAAGCAATTATCTAAATACATACTCAAGTTTTTTTATGGTGACTTATCATTTCAATATCAATACCATTTACGATCTCGTGAGTTTTCAGAAAATCGAACACAGTTTCCTTAGTCTTATTTAGTAAATTTAGCACCTGAAAAATTTCCTTACACCATTCCACAAAACTAGCAATTTTATCTCTGTCTTCTGTCTCATCATCATGATGAGTGAATCCTGTTAATGAAGTCTCGTCAGCGTACTTGACTATGAAACACTTAGCACTGCTGCTTCTCAAATCGCTGGTAGACAGTGTAAAAAAAAAAGAACTGGGGATAAAACACAGCCCTGCGTGGCACCGGTATTGGTAATTGCTAATTCTCTGGGACCTATTTGCCAAGAATTCATTCGTCCACAAGATTACAAAACCTTACCTTATCAAGTGGTTTGGGTTCGTCGGCTGACAACCCGCCTACCATGATTGCATTGGGCGTTACCGCCCTTGGGTAGTCCATAGCGAAATGGGTGTGAAATAACCAAAACTCCGCATTGCGTATCGTTTCCCTCATGTTCAGGTCGGTTCGAATGTTGTGCTGTATCTTCAGCGCATCGTAGGGACCCAGCATAAGCCGATCCATGAAAGAAGACATGCCCAGCCACGTAAAAGCGTTCCGGAACCGTTGCCAGAAGGTCATGGAGTCTGTGAATCCGGACATGTAGAGCGGCACGAGAGCCGGATTGGTGGGAATATCATACCAACGGTCGTGCAGGCCCGGTGTCAAAGAGGCCGCCGTGATGATAACGTACCGCAGGGATAACTTCTGAGCAACTAGAGTCATGCAAGGGTTGATGAGGTCAAAAGTCATCAGATCAAAATTCCTGCCTTTCAACGTCTCCATCAGCTTCTCATCGCCAAGGAGAATGTTGCACTCGAATGACAGATACTTGGACATGGGTTTGGTGGGTTTCAGTTCCTCTCGTTTCTCCTCTTCGGATTTCAAACCCAGAAGTCTTCGGCCAAGAAGCTTCAAGTACCCTTCCTGACTCTGGTAGGTGTTGTTGAGCGATTCCTGAGCAAAGTTATCCGTCATCTTCTTCACGTCTTGAGGAGTGTACGGAGAATTAAAGACTTGATAGTCAAACCAGTCTGCATCGCTACCATTGAGACGATGGATATAGGAGCTACTCAAGAGAAAGGTGACATGGTGTCCCCTTCGGACCAACTCCCGCCCGATTTTGGCGCTGAAAATATAGTGCGTTTGGTCAACCCCGGCTGACATGAGGATACTACCAGCGAACACGTCGTAAGGTTGGAGGATAACCCCCAAAAGAATGATCATACCTAAGAATTCACCCGCCATCTTTGCAGCTACTGTGAAACACACTGAGATAATAGACCTCGTAAATCAAAGCAGTAGGCCTACATGTATTGCATTTTGCCAACCAGCATCTTCCGAAGAGCATGATTGTCGTCATGCCCGTATCTTTCATATCCGACGTCGAACAATAAAAACTCACTTGTGCACACTTTTCTATTTTTATCACATTTTGCTGGCACGAAGTATTGTACACTGGCATATCGATAGATGTGCAGTGGAAGTGTTAGATAGAAGAAACTGGTCTATTACCAAGTGGTCCTCTTTACTTGCTCTTTGTTAATAAATCTCCATTCATTTTTAAAAAGAAAAAGAAAGGATATTGCCCCAGTTTATTTTTCCTTTAAGGCAAAGTCAGTTGCAAAAACGTATTTATTTGAGAAAGGAGACTGCAGAATCCGGCTAAGTTAGCCACACACAACTATTTTTCCCCAGAAATGATGAGCACTCACTAACTGAAGTCGCGTTGTTTTGAGTCTCTACTTGCTTCACTTCTTCCCGCGACCGGCGGTTTCCTTACGTGCCACACGAGGGCGCTATTAAAATTGCAACGGCGCTCGCGCGCGCGACGTGAAAGCACGAGTAGTGCGGCAGGGACGTACGTAAGCCTACATATACACGTACATGTACGAGTACAGGTGTCGTTACCGTAGCAGCGGTGAGGTATGATAGAGAGCTAGGTGGAGCATGGAGGTTTTTTCTTTTCCTACCTCCGTGGGTAAAGGGACACTGTATTTAAACTGTGGTCAGAATATTGCTTTTGGTTAGAAAGGTGGCGCAACATGTTGGAATAGAACAGAAATATTAAATGCCTTGATGACATGCGTCGTCATGGTCGTTGCACTTGCAAAGTTGCACTGGCATGACTGGCAGGTTGTGGTGTTCTCAATCTCACTCGTTATGTGGAACGTTATGTTGCATCCTTTTTGCGAATAAATTAGGCCTATTGCATGCTTGCTTGGCCCTCCGACTGTAAATGTGTAATAGTTTCCAGCATTGACTGGCTAAAAACCTAACAGGTACTCAGCGTTTTCACATTAAATGCTTCAACATGTTCACTGCTAAACTTGACTTTTAGGACATGCTATTCCCTGAAGTGGTGACATCAGTTTCGGGGCAGACATCTGGAAGTGGAACTTTCGAAAAATGGCGGGAAGCCACCACACCACACCGATAAAAATAACTGTGATGTGCAGGCATACTTGCCAGTCAGAGGATCGGGCTACACAATCTTTTCTTTAATCAGTACGTACAAATATAAGACGATGATGTGTGTGTGGGCACATCACAGTTGTTTTCATTGGTGTGGTTTGTTTGATACTTGCCATTTTGCCAAAGTCCCAGATGTCCGCCCCGGCCTATAACCAGAATAAATGTCGTAGCAATGGAATGTTGAGGTAATCACTTAGAAAATGCTTGGAATTTTTCAGAATAGTCTGATTGGGTGTGTGCTGATCAGGGTGTCAAGCGGGCTTCCATACACGGAATTCTCTGTGGTTTTTGGAGGATTTTGCCGTAATGTTTAATATGGCAAAAATGCATGGCTGATTGTTCAGAACACACTGTCAAGGTCTTGGGCCGGAGAGTGTGTTGTCTACGCTTAGCCACACATAAATTCAAGCCTGGGCTATTTAGGCCGAGATGTGAAATTATCTCCATTGTTCCCATTTGTATGGCCTCAATACGGTGATACTAGGAATTGCCAGAGGATTTTGAAGGGTTGAGGCGTTAGGTGTACCGCCAAGGAAACATTCTAGACTTAACGGAGGATTTGGAGGGTTATTGTTGTATCCAATTTTGACATGGAGGCATTTGTAGGATTTTGCAGGATTCAGGTTGCATCTTAGCAAAAGTTTTAAGGGATTTAGGGGCAGTTTTCTGGTCTGTGCCTAATTGGTTGCAATGATCTCATTTTTAAAATCGTTTTCAAGACCTTTTCTTTGTGCAGCAGAATTAGCATTTTTTTTGCCTAAAAAATTGGACAACCCCACTTTGGGACAGACAAAAGTTTCTTTCCCACTGTAAATTCCACCTTATGAATGTACATGTAGGCCTGGGTCCCTATCCCTCACTCAGATTTCTCATGTTTAAGGTGTTTGAATCCTCCCAAAACGGTCATTGCAAATGGTTCATAATCAGTGTGATGTAATTTGCATGTACACCGGGGAACTGGTTTACAGCCCGGTGTCTACTGCTTGAATTTGGGGCCATTCTGAACACCCCTTTTGGTTCTTGGTCACATTTAGACCATGCAGGAGAAACATTTGGGGTCAAACTTTGTGACAAGAGAATTGGGGATTTAGGACTTTCCACAGTGCTTTCTGTAGATCTTTCTGTAAGGTTATAAAGCCTCACTCTAGAGGTACATGTATATGTATCGTCGGCTGATTAATGAAAACTAATTTGTCTCGCAGTTTCCCGTGCTGCCTATCCTTCTTAGCTGTCACCAGTCTGCTCTGCTAAGATGCCAACTGTCATTGGTTTTGAGGGAAGCGCCAATAAGCTTGGCATTGGAATCGTTAGAGATGGAGTAGTGTTATCTAACCCAAGACACACCTACATCACACCACCAGGCCATGGTAAGATTACAGGCTCTTGAAAAAAAAATAAAACTTCATTTTAAATGGTCTGTTTCTCTATGTTATAAACTTATTTTTGGAGGTGGAAATGGATTTTAAAGGACTTTGGAACAGGCATGTAAACAAATCTTCTGGGTGAATGGGTAATGAGTGTTTGGGTGGATGGGTGTGTCAAATGGAACTGCGGACTGGAAAAAGGGGCTTAACTGTAAATTAGATAGGCATTGTTGCAAGATGAATACACATTGGCCTACATGTACATGTATGTCTCTTGTTCCCTAGGATTCATGCCAAGAGAGACTGCCAAGCATCACCAGGCTCATGCCATCGAAATTCTGAAGAAGTAAGTGGACTATGATATAACCACAGTTCAGTTCAGAGGTCACACATCGTCGCAGTCATGCCATGTGTTAGGCATGCTCAGTGTTACACGTAGTTTTGCCCTGAGATGGCTGGCATCAAATCCAATGCAGCAGCAGGTATCATATGGGTTCAAACCAGCTACCCCATCACAGCAAACTTGATGGTCATCAGTGAGTGATTTCATGTTGAAATTTTGTATAGCAAATTCCCTATGCACTTTTTTGTTTGCATAGCAAAAAATTGACTTTGTATAGCAACTGATCAATTTTTTTTAAGTAGTTTCTGTTGTAATTTAAATCACGTTAAAACACTTAGCTTGGGTTTTATATGTCGATTATTGTTCGCCATTTTGGCCATCACGCGAGCAAAAAACGTTCCAGAATCGTCCACAGAAGAATTGCGTCATCACTGGCCCCGAAACAGGTACAACGGCAAGTAACTTCATAATCACGTCATACCGCGGTACCAATGTGTACATGGCCTATGGCGTCGCCCCGGCCATCATTTCAAAATGTGCACTTTTTTCGAGGTCTGGTTGAACATCCGGGAACTTTTCTAGAGCATGTGCGCACTGCGCCTCGCTCCGATGCATGTGCTATATGCAGAAAGCAGCGCATACATACATGTACATGTATCACTGCACTGTTCTTGCTCTGCTGATGGATGATCTTTCCTGACATGACAAACATACCAGTAAACAGTTCAGATTCCTGATTCATGGCACCAGTGTTTCATCAATGTTTATAATTTAATCTTTACGTATATTTTCGTGTCCGTAACAGATACAAATATTTTGATAAATGTTCATCGGAAAATTCTCTTGGAAAGGTGTTGTTGCGTGCGTACATTTTGTTGCAAGTTGTCAGTTCTTTTGCTACCTCGCATGCCTCATGGTTTCAGGATTATCACGTACGTATCGTTATAAATACGTGTACATGCACTGGGATTCTAATAACAGGACCTTGGTTTTCTCAACAGTTGGTGGTTTTCTCAACATTTTCCTTTATTCCACTGATATAAAAGCAGGTTTACGAAATTTCTAAAACAAAAAATCCATCGCATATTGTATCACAAAACCCTGCAATCCATTTTTAAAACTAGATCGCAGATTGTCCAAAACACGTCGCATTTTGCAGTGCGATACAGGGGAAATCACTCACTGGTCGTGTCTTCCAGACGTCAGGAGCAGTAAGCAGGAAGTCGTTGGTTCGATTCCAACTTGAACCAGCTTGTGATTTTTTGGGGCAGCTCTCAGACCACAGTCACAATACAGTTTGAATGTACATGTTAATGTGAGGGCAAACTTAGCATAAAATTGACATCCCTGATGCAAAGCCACGCTAATGTCATGGAAATGGCATATCTAAAATTCCGCTTTGCCAGAAATTGGAAATGAGAGAGCACATCGAAAGTTTGTAACTACTTTGTTTGGTTGCATTGGTAGATGCATGGAGGAGGCTGGACTGAAACCAGACGATATTGATTGCGTTTGCTACACCAAAGGTTGGATCATAGGAATAGTACTAGATATCAAGAATGGTTGGAATGAGACATTGCTTGCAGTAAACACAGATACAAAGGTTTCTAAGTTAGTAGCAAGACATTTCACAATTCTATCCACACAATTTGAGCTGAGTTTTTCATCTGATGTGATGACCACTACCTCAAGCAATAGCTTGAAATTACTTGCGAGGAATCTCAAGCTGATTATAAAACAACAGAGATTGGGCTTTTCCTTAATCCCACAAAATTCTCCCCTTCCCTAAGAAAAAATTAGAACAAACACCGAAAGGTTTTTGAGCACTCAGTTTATCTTAAGGGTAAAGAAGTCGTGGTTTTGTGGCATAGCAAGTTCATCTTGATCAGGGAAGGGTGAGGTAGATGTGAAAAAACACCCCTCAGCTGTGGTGCTGGGGGAACGACACAATCTTTGGTGGTGCTGTTCAATCTTGGAGGGCAGTCTTAAAAAAAGGATACTTGTTACAACAGGAACTCAAGAAAAAATGGCTTCTGTTTTAATAGAAAATTATGTAAGGGGGTTAATATCCCTACTCCTGTGCTGTGCCCCTATGACTTGGCTGTTTTCTTTCACTTCAGGGCCAGGAATGGCAGCCCCTCTGATATCTACCGCCGTTGTGGCGAGGACTATTGCTCAGCTGTGGGATGTTCCTATCATTGGAGTCAACCACTGCATCGGGCGTATCCTTGAAATACACAGGTCTTGCCTGACTGTAAGACTAACTCATCAATACAGAAACAAATTGCATCATTCTAAAACCCAAAACTGGAGTATTATTCACTAATGGATGTTTTCCTTAACAAAAGTTACAGACATAGAAATGGGAAGGCTTGTAACTGGTTCCCACAACCCGACTGTGTTGTATGTTAGTGGGGGAAACACACAGGTAGGTTTACCAGTGGATCTCACCTTGACAGTTATGAAATAATTTGAGCATTTTACAATACAGAGAAGCTGACGTTAGCAGTGGAAACTCCTGCTCTTCTGAAGTGAATCATGGGAAAGTGGACATCCACTGAGAGATTTTACCAGATGGTACTCCAGTTTGCACAAAAGGACTAGGAACCTTTTACAATTTGATTAAAGCTGCTCGTATCTTTCAGTCTTTCTTTGAAAATAACAGTGGAATTTGTCCTAGATATTGATAATTAAATCAATTTAAGTTATGGTTTACTGTTGCAGGTCATTGCCTATTCACAGCACAGGTATCGTATCTTTGGTGAAACCATTGACATCGCTGTGGGGAACTGTCTAGATAGATTTGCAAGAATACTCAAGGTAATTTTGTGTTGGTCCTGTACTTGTGTTAATGGACGTATATTCAAACAAGTTGCGAGTATAAATTGTTTAGATCACTGTTGTTATATTGGTGTTTATTTAATTTGAATGGTAGTTGTTTACTGTGCATCATTTCAGTTTTATCTATTTGGATGTCTTTTGTTCCTGTTTCTGTAGTTATCAAATGACCCAAGTCCAGGATACAACATCGAACAAATGGCTAAGAAGTGAGTTAACGATCTTGAATCATAACTTTATCACTGGAACGTGCCACACGAGAAAGTTGGAAACTTGTGGAATATTCTTCAAGGATCACTTACCTAGTCTGATTCGGAACTTATGCTTGCCCTAGGGACAAGCTTGGAAATGTCTTCAATGTGGAAACCTTTTGTGCCTTCACATACTCTTGGGATTAGTGCAGGATCCCTACTTGAAGAGACTGGCAACCTTGTTTGTCGCTGAAGGCAGTGCTGTTGCTCCAAGTAAACTTTTCTGTAGTTCATATTTAATCAGACTTCAATCACCTTCTGGTTCTTTCAGACTGACTGATTTTTGGCCGACTTTTTGCAAAGCATCTCCCTTTTCTCTACACCGCCTTCCAAGGGGAAATTGATTTGGCACAACTGTTGTCTGTATTCACAGGGGAAAGGTGTACATTGAGTTACCCTACACGGTCAAGGGCATGGACGTCTCCTTCTCTGGTATCCTCTCCTACATCGAGGTAAACTGCTAGGCAATTTTAACCATTCCAAGAGCGAGTTGGGTTTCAAATCAGTATGTCTTAGACCTTGTCGCATGGTAAATGCCTGGCTTATTTCAGGAATGTTCTACTTCTCGAATGTTTACAGAACGTGGCTCACAAAAAGTTGACGGCAGGAGAATGTACACCAGAAGACCTTTGCTTCTCCTTACAGGTGATTAGTGTTTGATAATAAAACTCCAGCTCTGAATACCTCAAAAAGTCACCATTGCTAGCGATTTCAGCCCTGAAAAATGATTGAGAAAAGTGGAACCAGTTCTGAGCCAGTTGATCCTGATTGACGTCCCCCTTGAAAAGATTCTACATAACTCAGTATGTTGCGATGATGGTTTGGTTTCATTGACACAGGAGACATTGTTTGCCATGCTTGTAGAGATAACAGAGAGAGCCATGGCGCATTGCAACTCCAACGAGGTACTCATTGTCGGAGGTGTTGGCTGTAAGTTTATCTTCAAAATGAGCCTTGTCATTCCTCCTGGAGTGATCCTCTGAGAAATTCAGCAAAAACCTGGTTCTTCTTGTTGCAAAGTTTTGTTCCCATTAGGACTGGGCTATCCATTAAATAAGCATCCATGATTATTGGCTGGTGCCCACGTGGAAGTCGCTGTCAGTGGGTATCAGCTTGCGTTCCACTTACATTAATGTTATGCAAATTGGCATGATATTTAGGTGTATCACTTTGGAAACCAATTTGATAAATCCATCATTAACCCAGTCCGTAATTACCTCTAACAGTCCCAAATCTGCCAATTTCAATGTGATTTTCCATACACCCTAGAGGGGTTAGGGTTAACCAATTTTGTCCTGTTCAAGCAATTTGTGACAAATATGCTTCCTCTGGGTATTCTTACAAGAAACAACTGATGTGAACCTTATTAACCTGAACACTTTGCCTTGACCATTAGCATCTTCATCATACACAACTGGGACAAAACCCCAATGGAAACTAGGAGTAAATGGTCTTGTCCTCTTTCAACATCTTGGACAGCCTTAGGGGCAAAACTGGAAGATCTAGGGAAGAAAAGATTAACAAACAATTACAAGAAAGACGTACAGTAAGGTTCCTCCTATTAGCCTGTGTAAAATTGTTAGCCAAGAAGCACCTGGCCCATTTAACAAACAATTACAAGAAGACGTACAGTAAGGTTGCTCCTATTAGCCTGTGTAAAATTGTTAGCCAAGAAGTACCTAGCCCATTTAACAAACAATTACAAGAAGACGTACAGTAAGGTTGCTCCTATTAGCCTGTGTAAAATTGTTAGCCAAGAAGTACCTGGCCCATTTAACAAACAATTACAAGAAGACGTACAGTAAGGTTCCTCCTATTAGCCTGTGTAAAATTGTTAGCCAAGAAGTACCTAGCCCATTTGTCTTGCTCATCATCCGTTTAATACATCTGTCCATATTTCCTTTGTCTCTAGGCAACGAGAGATTGCAGCAGATGATGAGGGACATGGCCGTGGAGAGAGGAGCAGTGGTGTGTGCGACAGATGAGAGGTAAGAGAGCTGTGTTGTGGGATTGTGGGTAGAGTCAGCCGTTGGCTTGTTGGAGCTGTAAATTCTTCCATTCTGGAATGGTTATTTATCCAACGCTGTTTCCAGTTTGAACAGGTGTTCCCTTTTAAAGTATTCCAAGTTTTGAAATGCCCCCATATGTTGATACAGGCAGTCCTTTCCAATAGGAGTGATGTACAATTCTGTGCACCCCCATCATTTGTCCCCCAAAAGGTCTTTTTGACTCGTGGGTCAACATAGGTAACTTACCTGACCCTCAGCTGTCTGTAGCACTTTGAAGCAGGCATACATCTAAGAAGTGAGATCAGTGTGAGTTGATGAATGGAAGAATTATTTGGAATGATAACAGCTGCCCATGTGCTGCCAAAAATGAGGTATTGCAGGATTTGGTTTTTGGACAAGGTAAGATGATAGAGCCGAGGCTTAGCACTGTGCTACAGAGTTGCGGGATGTTGACTCTCACCCATAATGCACTGTGTTCTGCCCTTGATTCAAGCCCTCTAGTGATGGATTAGCCTTATCAGTCCTATGAAACAACACAAGCATTTCAAGTTCTGAAATAGTATCGTATGAATTTGATATTTCTTTGTCAGGTACTGTATTGATAATGGAGCCATGATAGCCCAAGCTGGATGGGAAATGTATCACTCAGGATATAGGACTCCTCTTGAGGAAACATGGTGTACTCAGAGGTGAGAACAAATTGTTTCTTAACCTCACCAAATAAGTCATCAGAGCCACTTAAGAAATGGAGACCTTTATGAGAATCTTGTAAATTAATGGGAACCTTCAACATTTTACTCCTGCACAATGTCCATTTTCATCAAGATGCTAAATTTAGTAATAAAGCAAAACAAAAAGGTCAGTTGTGTCTTATGCCGACCAAAGCAGAATTACTGAACATTTGACCTTGAGACTTATTTTGTGGGATCCAAGTACACCTTTGCCCCATTCATGGCTCTTACAAACGAGAACAATGTAAGTTGTAGTTTAAAGCACCTCAAAGAAAGATCTTCCACTGGACAGTTAAGACTTGAGGATTTTGCATTACCCTGGTATTGTAATTTCAGCCACTCAAGGTTTTAAGTGAAAAGTTTTAGAGACAAAATCAGCCTGGTTTGAGGATGTTAACTCCAGTATCTGATGAAGAGTTTGTTGTGTGTAGTCTGTTTTGGAAACAAATTTCCTTCTCTTTACTCCGTCTAAGCTGTGTGTGATATTTGCAATGCATGGGCTAAAATAGTTTGGTTTTGTTGATTGTTTGGGGGTCTTTTATTCAGATACCGAACTGATGAAGTTGAAATCACGTGGAGAAAATAACAGTCAACATGTAGCCAATGGTAAGAGGGCTGCCTGTGTTTGTTGGCCTCCCCCCCAGGCAGAGTCATGAGGCGCTGTTTGTTCAAGACTTTCTGACAGTTTGTGGGAAAAGCATCAAACTCACAAGGTGAGGTTTGAAGCCGTGACAACCTGCTGAGATTGGTGTCACCGTTAACAGGTGTGATGGAGGATTGTTACAGCCTAAACCAATGAGACAGCGGGCAGAAAGACAGCGCTCAGCTGGCTACTGACCTGTGACTGGAGGCAGCTAGGAAGAACTGGCTGCTTGGAGATGAAAATAAGCAAAGAAAAACCCTAGCAACACATCAGAAGATTCAATGCACTGTGAACAGGTCAATTAAGGTGGAGTTAAGAAGATTCAGTGCACTGTGAACAGGTGAATTAAGGTGGAGTTAAGAATAATATCTGTTGAACTTTGAAAAAAGTGGGCTGTGTTGTAATTACATGGCTATGCAACCAGAATCGTTAGAGGGTGCCCTCGGGAGACCACACTGTTAGGTATTATAAATTAATACGAGTAGAAGATTACTTGAATTCAATCATGTTTGGCAAAAATCAGAAAAAAACAGACACAGCTGTGACCACTTTGTTGTATTTTTTCCTGTACAATTCATTGCATTGAGATAATTTTATTACTCTTACATTAAAAGTTGATCCATCACAGTTTCCAAGTGGCCCAAACTTGGAAACTGTGATATTTGGGGCATTTTGGCAAGGAAAAGAGGCTTAGAACCTAGGAGAATAGGTTTGAATGAAATGCGCTCAACTTTCTGGTGTTTATGACTTTTCATAGTAAGCTTCTTGCAAGTTAAATTTGAATAAAATCTGGTGCAGTGTGTTTTTCAAATTCAGTGAACTTTCTTTGAATTCTCCATACTAAAGGCAATTGCTATACCTTGTGATTCGGTGCAAGCGCTAGCTTACTTACATAAGAGATGCCTTGGACAACTAGTTTTTTTTCAGTGGAGGACACTCAGGAATGAGTCCATTCCTGAGATGGTGGTCTCTATGTAAAAACTTGCCCCGAATCACGAGGTGTAGCAACAGTGTCGTTAGTCTGGGGAATTCAAATGGCTATGTTTATGTGCAATCACATAACTCAGTGTACCAGATTTTAAAGGCTTATTAGGATGTTCATAGAGGAATTCTTTCCTTTTTTGTATATTTGATTATTATTCCATTTGGGTTTCATTGAGAGTTGTCAGGAAATAATATAGCACTCTGCAACTTGTGTGCATTTTTATGGGAATGCCAGATGAAAAGTGCAGCCAGTGTTAAAAAAATGTGAGATGTGCCATAAAAAGGTAATATTTTGTTAGTGAAGCTAAGGTCAGTCTTTGTTCCATTAAGCCTCTCAACTGTACAGTGAACAACATTAACGTACTCTTTTTTTTTTACTCTTTGTACATTTTTAATACTTTATTTTTAATGAAAGAAGTTGGAAGTAAAAATGCATGTTGCTTTCACAATGTTTTCAGTTTTCTTTTCCATTACAAAATCTCATTGTGGCCTCTGTACATTCACTGTGATAGGCTATTGTATTTGCTTATAATCTTTAAATAAATGCTTGAGAATATTTGTTATACTAAATTTACAAAAACACCTATTTAACACCATTGCATTCGAGCATAAAAATATCTAAAAGACTATTTAGGCATTTATTCTATTATAGTTGTCACAACTTCTGTGTATTTATCATGCCATAATTTACAGTCACTGAGAATAGCAATTCTCTGAAGACAGGTTCACCAGGATTGATTTATTCCTGGTGAAGATTCTCACAAAGCAGCCCAAAGAGGGTCTTTTGGTTTGAAAAGATATTTCTTCAAAATGATCAGCCTGTAATGCATGTATATATCACACAATGATCACATGATACAATAAATTCCAACAAATGAGTATTCAAACTCTCTGCAAGTAACATTGAAAACTGACCAGCAAATGGGCAAATTAGCATGTCAGGGGTAAGATTGGAGACAAAATCAAATAGTCTTGAAATAATTACCAGAGGTTTTAAGTGCCCTGCAGTAGCGTTATGGTTTCATTTGTGTTTGCCTAATACTACCCCTTAAAACAACGCATTTCTTGTGTTTTGTATATCACTGTTTACATGTAAAAACACCTCACTGATAAACCCAGGATTTTCCAGATTTTGGACGAGATTGTTTGAAAAAATTCCTGTCATCAAAACAATCCCGATCAAAAATCCTAAAATCAGGAAAAATCCTGACAAATCTTACCCCTGGCTTGTGATTGTCAAGGCATTCTGTGTTGTGTTCTGTTGGGGATTCACGCAAGCATAAAATGACTCTTGTACACAAAACAAAAATACACTGTACCTCAGGAATGATAGTAACTTACAATCCATGTAAAGTGCACACACTTGACCCTTTTTTCAAACAGAAGGAAGTACAAAGAAGATCAATAAGCAAGTTTGGTATTCCAACTGAGAATGCACATCTCACAATTCGACAAGTTGATTTTTCACCAATCCATTAGACGTGTAAATAATCAGAGAACCAGCAGAAGTAGAGAAAGATTCCCACTCGCATGAGGTTCAGAAATTCATGCATATGTGCCCAGTTAGAATCCAATGCACACATATATCTATAACAATTTCTATGCCTGTTATGGTGTCTTCACCTCACAAGTGTAATATATTTTTCTGGCTGACAACGTAAAATGCTATAGACCACATGCTATCTTTCCCATTTAACATTAAACTCTCACGCAAAGGGAGGAGAAATTATCGGACATCATTGGGTGGTTGGTGAAAGATTTGTGGAGCAAAAGAGGAAGCAGAGTCCATGAGAGATGACCTCACCACTCAACATTAGCAATTATATTTGGTACGTAATTTTTTTAAGGGGTGATACAACTTCATAGATGAACCTTGATAACCTGCACTTTTCTTGGATAGAAAGGATCAGTTCAAATTCATTTAAGGGGAGGGAATCTTTTCTGCATGCAGCTTTTCCTCTGATAAGTTGATTTCCTTATTTTTTACCTCACACTCATGCCATTGAAAACTAAAATCATTGAACAAAAGTCTTGTAAAGATTGGAATTTCCTCACATTTGTCAAAGTCCAAGTTGCATGCCTGTGAACAGCCTCGGTAGACCTTAGACATTATGACGTCACCCTATATGCTTTCCTATGGGGGCTTGATGGACCGCGTCCCACCTCAATGCAGTAGGAACGTGCACATCCAAACAAAAGCATGACACCATCACGTTACAGGTCCATTCCAATACACACACAGTATACATGCGCATTTGCTACTCTGCAAAAACCAACTTCACAGAAATTGTTTCGGCATTTCAATCGACTTTCTCTACTGTCAAAATCTGAAGTAAAAAATTACAATATAGCAATGTACATATATGCCGTCATACTTTTCACACATACATGTACATTTATGAGTAAGTACAAAAATAAAAGACAAATCAATGGTACCCACTTAATACAAGAAACCATCAGGTTGTGTGTTCCTTGAAAGACTTCATATATTTTTACTTTCCTTGCCTTTTTGTGCACGATTTGTGTAATTTACAAACGTGAAAGAAATTTGCATTGCAACTATCACTGTTTACAATTGGGCGCAAAACCCAGTGAGGTTTCTTAACTGGTCCGCAGGACCCACGACTGGCCTAATGCATTACTTATAAACCTAAACTCTGCCTGTGGCATCCCAAAGCTTTGGCTGTGGCTTACAGTAAAATGTTTATGGGAAATGGCGAAGCCGTTACCCTGTGGCTTTCATAGGCACACATTATTGCTAGCCATAGCCACAGCCTTGGGAGTCAGGCTCTGGCATGCATTGATTCCTAGTGCAACTAGATGACCAGCCCTCTCACGGTCCATTGCGTACAAACTTCGGCTAGAACTAGGTCTAGGTCTTTACTCTATTGGGAATATGCATAGAGAACAGACCGAGCCATAGCTCTTGAAGCCCATTTTGGAAACAGTCTTTTAATCTAACCACCTCGGTTTATTTACAAACGACAAGTTACAAATAGAAAATTTGAAGAGAAGACTTTTACATTCATAATTCAGTCCTTGCCGAAAGCCTTGGAATGTGTACGTCTGTTTTCCATGATGTGGTCCCAAGCTTAAGGGAATTGTCAAGTCATAAACTGAAGGAATTGAATCTGCAGAATATATATAGGAAACTTTGGAAGTTCAGGCTTCAAAATTATGTTTATCTCATGCAACATGATTGGTCAAAAGCAGAAACACATTAATATGCATATATATTCATAAAATCTCCATGAAATTCAGTCAAAAGCTTTCCCAAGTGGAATTTGATAACCACATTTCCAACAAAAGTTTCAAGATAGTCCAAAGATAAGTCAAAGATTACCTCCCACTCATACGTGTAATTTCTTTAACCTTTTTTCTGTTGAAGCTGCTATTTGCACATTTAGGCACAAACGTCTAATGCATTATCTTAACATCAATTTATAAATCAGAAAAATTAAGCATTTTCCCTCTACATAAATTATCTATCTACTTGTGCAACATGAACACCACACCCGAGACAAAACACAAATTGCAAGCAAATAAAATCTCTCATTTTAGCTATAAAACTTAAAAATATCTGGAATCAAATATTATACATATCTATGTGATGTATTTCAATCAATCATATTGCATATCTTTATGTCATGCAAATCAGACTTACAAAAATAGGCTGTTCTTTAACAAAACGTAAATAAAATACATTTTTGTTGTCTTTTAAAGTTATTTCCAACAACTGGAAAAGGAAGAAAACTAGTTCAGCAACTTAAATCGAATAGTTAAATCTTTCATCAGTAGATGTAAATGTTTAAGGAAAAATGTCTTTAAGATACGAGAATCCAGAAAAAATATGTTGAATGTATAAACAAAAATCTCCGTTTTGCCCCCTGAAATCTTCTTGTCATTAACAATGTGGGTCTGCAAATTTTCAGTGCAACAAAACTGAAAAAGAAGCAAATATAAAGAGAGGCTGGGAACCAGTCTATATTACTTTGATCCGCTTATCTCCATGTACAGGTTGTTGACCTTTCTGAGGTGTAAGGAGAGTAAAGCACTGGTTCTCATATCCCCCACTGGAATGTGTAGAGGGAACCAGTCCCAACCACTCCCATCACTGAAAAACCATCTAATGTTTGTGGAATGGTAGCATGGAGAACGGTGACTTGGCAACAAAGTCAACAGTCTATTCCATTGTTTTCACATGGAAATTAGTGCTTACGCTATGTCTGAAACAGAAATTGCTGTCAATGGCTACGGCTATTAAACTGTGTGGTACTGGAAAACACATGAGCCCTAGCCACAAAATACCCCTTTCAGGCAGCCTTTGGCGGCACCGTGCCTTTCCTGTAATGATCATTCTCAAGTGTATTAAACAGGTGCCTGGGTTACATGCTTCAAATGGAATTACGGTATAAAGTGAACCTGCATTTTCCCTCACCCGTTAAGGCGCCTTTCCATATGTCCATTCTTTAACTGCACAGCGAACACAATGCGTTTCACTTTCACGGATGCAAAAATTGGCTCTATTAACGTAACACGTGTGCATTGCATTCGGCCGTGAAGGAGCAACTCTTGACAGATAAACAACACTTGGTGCAAGTGTTAAAGCACAAATGGAACAGCGCCTTCAGGCTGCATAGTACTGCCTTGGTTAAGTAAGTAAGAGAGCTCACATGTATGTAGAGGTGAAAGTGTGCAAGCAGATAACAAGGAGCAGCTTCAGATAAAACTATTTGAGGTTAAGAGTGTTCAGGGGTGGCTTCTGGATACCTTCAAATCCTGAATGACCAGCAGGAACTTGCGGAAACAAAACCTCTTAATAAGCAATGCAGCCAGTTTATTTAACATAAGAAACAAAAGCAACTCTGTTGTCTTTTCACTTCATACAAAAGAAAGACTAAATTGAAACAGAAATATCAGCTGAAATCAACAAACAATAAAATTTCTTTCTTTTTTTGTTTTTTACTCCAGTTCCAAGCAAGAATTTGAAACTGTTTACATGATTGTACACAGATGTATTGCAAAGAGGAACCACAAGCTGAAAGACATGAGAAATGAAAATAAAAATCTGAACAGTAATCAACGTCTGACTTGGTTTGGTACCAGCTGTGTGCAAGCAGAGTTTAGCTGCACACCAGTCATGGGCAATGCCATTTTTTAAAAAAAACTTTATGGTGAATCTATCTCTGAATATACTGGAACAGCTTCATGACATCTGCCCTGAATTACTTTCAGTGTTCTTAGCATATTGGAATTTAAATGATGAAATGACTGTTATCTTTGTAAAGCAAGCTACTTTAATACACTGGGAATGCTGTTAAAGGTCAGAGAAATACCGAACACACATTGGACTCCAACCCTCACAAAGAAAGAGAAACGCAAAGAAGGAAAGGATGATGCAGACAAACCTAATACTGAGAATTTAAGTCCTTTCTTTCCTGCCGAGCAGTGATTTCAACATAAAAACGCTCTCCCGCTTGATAATTAGTTTAAGCAACATAAGCCACTAATGGATATCACTCTGAAAAGCTGCAGTAGCCATTGCCATGGTGATGATTTGTTTCCATGGAGAGCCATTTTTCTGTATAAATGGGGCATTGTTTTCTGTGTAATTTATTCTACTTTTGGCCAAACATTTCTGACTATCTCTCTCATGCACAAAAATGTCAAATTTGATTGACTCATTTCCGAGAAATGTTTATGTATAAAAAGAGGCTTAAAACTATGGAAAAATCCTCCTCGGGGTTAAAATGCCAAACCACAATTTCTTTGGATACATACAAGAAGCACTGTGCACGATGAAGTCCCATTTTCTATTTCTAGGAGGGCAAGATTTATCGCATTCGGGTCATTACAGACAGACTTGCCTTATTACGGATTTACAAGTTAAAAAAAAAAAATAGAAAATACTGCATTCAGCCTCAGCTAAAAATTCCTGATGGCAACCCCCTCCCCTTACAAAATGACACAGCATCTTCTTTCCTCATCCCCACCAATCACCTCTTGTTCCACTGCAGTGAACCGTTTAAGGGGTTCATCTCCAGGGTATGGTTCCAGCGGGGTATTACTTGACTCCGAGGGATTCAATCCTCCTTGGTCTCCAATGCCATTCTGCTCACTTCCGGTTGAGTCGCGGTGCCCGTCCCCCTGACTGGTTTCGTTGAACGTGTAGCTCCCTGACAGCCTGTGCGGCAGGATTTTGCGAACAATGTGAGGGCTCTTTTTCTTTGTGCTATTTTGCGACTTGTGGTCTTTCAGCATGTCAAATGAGTCCTTCCGAGCCTCGGACCAGGCTGTTCCAAAGTCCTCCGTACTGTCTCCACTGAGAGTCCGCTTGGCGTGCTCTGAGGCTCGGTGCCGTTTCAACTCAGAGAGAGTCTCAATGTTCCCTGTGTGGTTAGCATCTTGCTCCACATCCTTCTCTTGATCATCTTTCGTCGTATTCTCTTCCTTCTTCTCCGTTTCCTCTGTGAGAGTCTTTCGCTTCAGCTCTTTCTCCCGTTCTTTCTCCTCTTTCTCCCGTTGACGCAGCAGTTTCTTCTCCTCCTTAATCCGTTGCTTTTCTCGCTCCTTTTCTTCCTTCTTTCGTTGTCGCTCCTCTCGTTCCCGTTGCTTAGCCTTCTCTCGTTCCTCTCTCTCTTTCTGTCTCTCCTCTTCCAGCTCCTGCTTCCTAGCTTCCACATCCTTGGCCTTTTCCTTCCTGCTTTTCTTGGCATGGAGATCTTCCACGACCTCTTGCTCCTTCCTTTTCTTGAGGATGCTCTTGGGCTGTCTTAGCAGGCCAGGCGCATTGAGTCCTTCCATATCAGTCTTTCCATCACCCCCATCTCCATTCTGCATCACTGACTGCTCCCCGTTCTCCAGCTGAGCTCTCTTCTCAGGGCTATCTGGTATTTCCTCCGTAATGACAGGCATGGGAATGATATCAGTCTCTAAGGCACCATTCACATCTTTCTCTTCTCCCTCTGGTTCTTCTCTGTCTAACGTCACCGACGCAACTGAGGTTGGACTCTGAGGCGCCTCCGTGCCAATATTCACTTCATCAATATCTGTAGCTGGAATATCATCACCCTATGAAAGAAAAAAAAAACAACTTTGAGGATTTGATAACTTATTTCATCTTGCCGTTTTCACAAAGTCTTGGACTTGTCTAGAGTAAGGTTGTTGTGATTACTCTGCAAAGGGGAAAAGGAATAACTTTAATTTCGTTCTCCTCTATTCTTAAGTACATTTTTCTTCCAATGAAAATAAAACAACCGAGTTTACTGCCATTATTCTGCTATTGTTGTGGCTGCAAATAATATGAAAGCTATGGAAGCCATTGTCCAACGACAGCAGCCACTTCCTGTTGGGGTGTGTAAA